GCAGCCTTCGCAGCAGCCGCAGCCGAGGCAGACGAGTGTCCTCCCGCCCGGGTGGCCCGGCGCTGGCGGTGGTTGGGCGCGTGGTGGTGTGCCGAGTGGTGGTTCCGGGGGCGTGCGTTGTCAGTACCAGATCCAGACCGGTCCTCGCCGCGGCTTCGTTTGCGGTAAGATCGGTCACTCCACTCCCCGCTGCTTTCGTCGCGTGGACGACCTGTTTCGTTCAGCGCTTCGGCCCGTCGCCAGACCTCCCGGACTGGCACAGCATGCTTAGACGTAGTATTCCGATTTTTGACCTGGACATGGATGCCATTGTTGCTGCTCTGCATGTGATCTATGCTGATGACTCTAGTGTGCTTCCTGCTTATTACTCACTGTCATCTAGTGTAGGTGTGCCTAGCTTAGCTTCCCCTACTTAGTCAGGCGTAGGATCCTCTGCTTTGTTTAGTCTTGGTGCTTCCGCCGTCGTCCCGACGCCAGACGCCTCTGCTTCGCTTTCCTTCACCTTGGACTCTGGCGCTTCCCGGTGCTTCTTCCGCGACTCTACTACACTAACGCCGCTTCCTGTTCCTGCTGCCGTTTCTCTTGCTGACCCCTCCGGCGGTCCGGTAGTCGCCCGCAGTTCCACCACCCTTCCCTGTCCGGCGGTTCCTTCGGGCTCTCTCACAGGTCTGCATATCCCCTCGTTCTCCAGGAACCTAGTTGGTGTCGGTTGCCTCCAGGACCTTGGCGTCACCACTACGTTCCCTGGTCACGAGCGGTATGCTGTCTGTACCGAGGCCGCCACTGGTGCCCCCCTCTCCACGTTCCCCCGGAACCAGGTGTCCGGCCTGTTCACTCTGGACACCGTGACCCCCCCGGCTGGAGCGCTCCCTCAGGTGGCTGCGTCTACCCAGATTGCTGCTGCTTGCTCCTGTCGGTCCCTCACTCACCCGACTCTCCTTTGGCACCACCGCCTAGGTCACCCTGCGCTCCCGCGTCTGCGTCACATGTCCCAGCACGGTCTTGTCCTTGGTCTCCCAGGTTCTCTCCCCGCATTTCCCTCCTCCCCAGCCCCACATTGCACGCCTTGTGTCGAGGGTCGGCTTCGCCGTGCCCCTCACTCCTCCTCGTTTCCCCCTACCGCCGCGCCGCTGCAGACCCTGCACCTGGACGTCTGGGGCCCCGCCCCCGTCCCTGGGCCTCGTTGAGAGCGCTACTTCCTTGTGCTTGTCGACGACTTCACTCGTTACACCACAGTGTTTCCCCTGGAGCGCAAGGCCGACGTGCCAGACGCTCTCATCCCCTGGCTTGTCTCTGCGCGTGTCCACCGCGGTCTCCCTGTCTTGCGTCTTCACTCCGACCGTGGTGGCGAGTTTGCCTCAGGTGTCCTTGGTCGCTTTTGTCGTGCGGAGGGCATCACCCAGACGTTCACCCTACCGGACTCCCCGCAGCAGAATGGGGTCGCTGAGCGACGCATCGGTTTGGTCATGGAGGTGGCTCGCACCTCCATGATCCATGCCGGTGCACCCCATTTTCTGTGGCCGTTCGCTGTGCGCTACGCTTCTCACCAGCTTAACCTGTGGCCGCACCCCCAGCAGCCGCAGGTTTCGCCGACTCGTCTTTGGACTGGGTCTCCTGGTGACGCGTCTGCGTTCCACGTCTGGGGCTGCCTTGCTCACGTCCGTGCCTCCGGCACGGACAAGCTCACTGCCCGCACCCTTCCCTGCGTCTTCCTCGGTTTTCCCCTTGACGCGTCCGACTGGCACTTTTACCACCCGCCGTCTCACCGCTTCTTTCACTCTCGCGACGTCACATTTGATGAGTCCGTCTCCTACTACCGTCGCTTCCCCCACCGCGGTCCCACGGTTACCCCCCCCCCTGTTCCTGGTCACTCCTTCCCCGGTAGTCCCTGCCCCTCCTCCTCCTCCTCCCCGTCCTGCCCCCTCTGGTGTGTCCCACGTCACCCCCCTTCCGTCGGTGGACCCGGTTGAGGGGTCTTCTGACTCTGGTGGCCCTGCTGCGCAGTCCTCGCCAGCCGCCCCTCCCCCGGCGTCCCCTCCCCAGTCCCCTCCTCCACCGCCTCTGCCGCCGCTGCAGCCGTCGTTGCCGTTGCCGCCGCCGCCGCCGCCGTCGCAGCACCCGTTCGCTGCCTCTGAGGGTGCTCGTCCCGGTCGCCCTGGGGGTGGTCCCTCTGGGGGTGCTGGTGTGGAGTGTGCCGGTGGCAGCCGAGGAGCAGCTTGCGGTCCAGGTGTCGCCGTTGTGCCGCCGCAGCAGCAGTCCCCGCCGGTGTCAGCCCTTCGCCTGCTCGGCCTTCCGTCCCCCGACCCTGCGTCTGTTCCTCTCCGACCGTCTCCTCCTCTTCCCGTCTACGGCCCCCTGTTCCCTCCGCCGGACTCGTCCCCTGCCCGTCTTCCCCCTCGTTCCCCTCCTGTGTCCCCTCCCCTGTCTCCTGACCCGACTCCTCCGTCGCACGTCTGGTCTCACCGTCCCTCCCGTGCTCGTCCTGCCTCGCCGGTCTTGCGCTCCCACCCTATGTTGCTTCGTTGCCGCGCGTCTCGTCCTCCCCTTCTGCCGTCGCCTCCTCCGTCCTCCCTTGTTGTTGCACCCCCGCCGCTGTCTGACTACCTTCGTGCCGCTCGTCCTCTTGTTCCTCGGGTCCTTGCCTCTCTCGTTACCGACCCGTCTGTTCCGGTCTCGTTCCTTGACGCTCTTGTCGCTGCGGTCGCTGACTTCGCCTCTACCCGCTGCCTTGACTACGCCACAGCTTTGGTCTCTGACCCTGCCTGTCCTCCGTCTGTCGGGGGTGCTCCTGCCCTTGGCAGTGACGTCCTGGAGGACCGCCAGTTCCAGCTTGCTTTCCTGTCCGAGGCTGCTCCCCATCTCTGTTCCATGCTGCTAGTCCCTGAGGGTGACCCAGACGCTTTCGACATCCCGACCCCTCGCACTTACGCTGAGGCGACCTCGGGACCCTAGGCCTCCCAGTGGATAACTGCCATGGAGCAGGAGATGGCATCTTGGAGATCCACCGGTACCTTCGTCGACGCAGTTCCCCCGCCTGGGGTGAACGTAGTCGATGGCCGCTGGCTCTTCAAGGTGAAGCGCCCTCCTGGAGAGCCGCCTGTGTTCAAGGCGCGCTACGTGGCTAGAGGCTTCAGTCAGCGTGAGGGGGTGGATTTCTTCCAGACCTTCGCTCCGACCCCGAAGATGACTACTCTTCGGGTTCTGTTACACCTAGCTGCTCAGCGTGACTACGAGCTTCACTCCCTCGACTTCTCCACTGCCTTCCTTCAGGGCAGCCTACACGAGCTGGTCTACTTGCGTCGCCCTCAGGGCTTTACTGGCACCTTCCCTCCTGGGACCCAGTGGCTCCTGCAGCGCCCCGTCTACGGCTTGCGCCAGGCTCCCCGTGAGTGGCACGACACTCTCCGTGCTACGCTTGCTGACCTGCAGTTCTTTCCGTCTTCCGCAGACCCCTCACTCTTCGTTCGTGCTGGCCAGACTCCGTTCTATATCCTTGTTTACGTCGACGACCTGGTCTTTGCCACAGCAGACAGGGACGCACTGGCCTCAGTGAAGGCAGAGTTGCTGAAGAGACACACATGCACTGACCTTGGAGAACTGCGCCGCTACCTTGGCTTGCAGATCTCCAGGGACAGAGCATCGCGCACCATCACCCTGACTCAGTCACACTTGGTGCGCCAGGTCCTTCAGAGGTTCAGCCTTCAGTTCTCTTCTGCACAGCCCACCCCTCTGCCTGTAGACCACAGACTCTCTGCTCCACTTCCTGAGGAGTTGGCAGAGCCCAGTGGTCCTTACGCAGAGCTGGTGGGTTGTCTCATGTACCTGATGACTTGCACTCGCCCAGATCTCGCATACCCTCTTAGCATCCTGGCTCGCTTTGTGGTTATAGGCAGACACCGACCTCAGCACTGGTTTGCCGCTAAGAGGGTTTTGCGTTATCTTGCTAGTACATCGGGCATGGGGTTAGTGCTAGGAGGACGCAGGCCAGTGGTCCTTACTGGACACACAGACGCTTCTTGGGTAGACGACGCCGAGACCCTCAGGTCCTCGCAGGGCTACTGCTTCAGCCTTGGTTCAGGTGTCGTCTCATGGAGAGCTACCCGCTCCTCGTCTGTTGCCCAGTCCATCTGTGAGGCCGAGATCTACGCTGGTGCCATGGCGGCACAGGAGCTCCGCTGGCTGACCTTCTTGCTCGCTGATTTAGGTGAGCAGCCTAGCTCCGCCCCGGTCCTGTTCGCTGACAACAGGGCCATGATCCTCCTGTGTCAGGAGCCTCGACTCGAGGGCAGAGCGAAGCATATTCAGCTGCTGCTGAGTGAGCTACAGCAGCGATGTCAGGCTCGCGTAGTACACTTGGCCTCAGGTGCCAACACAGCTGATATCTTTACGAAGGCGCTTGCGCCTAAAGATCATCAGCGGCACTGTGTACAGCTTGGTCTAGTTCCTGTAGCCTCTCACTTGCTAGGGCCTTGACTTTGTACTGTCCTTTATATGTATACTCAGACTGGACTTGTGTCCTCTCCCAGTGGCTGGACTAGTAGTACCGCCCTGGTCTTGTTCTCGCCTTGTCTGTACTCCTTCTGACTGGTCTCTTAGACCCTTGTCTCAGAGGCTGGACTAGTAGTGCCGCCCTGAGCTGCTTGTTTAGGACATTCCCCTATGCAGTCTAGGGGGTGTGTCAAACATGTGTATTTGTTATGTTTGTATAGACTGTATAGGGTCACCTCTTAGAGGGTACAACACTTAGGTATATCTATCTGTACTCTCCCTCTACCTATCATTCAATTCTCAGTTTGATATATAGCTCCTAGGGGTGCACCAGATATAACGCATCACTACGCTAAGGAGGCTCACTTGGGTGAGCGACTGTTGTCGTTCTACTGCAGTAGACTAAGAACTCAAGAACTAAGGCAATCAAGATGAAGTAGTTTCTCCTATTTTATGTTCTATATGCATGCATATAATAGGCAATGGGGTGAGAGCAAGAGCACGATACACTTTGAGATTATAATATCTTATTTTGGAAGGGTACATGATTTAGAAAGCCATGCACCACCTCAACCATAAAGAATCACCTCATTTTACCCTACATATTGTCTATGCCAATGATGCCAAGAAGCCCTTTCCGCTTGGAAGTAGTACAGCGTCTACACCATGAACAACAATCGACGGGCTCGTGTACATGTCTCCAAGCACAACTCGCACCCCCAAGGAGTCCCCCAGCCTGGCAATGCGCAGGCAGTTCGTTTGGTTCTTCCTAAGGGGCATTCCATTGAGTGTTTGGAACTGTACATGGAAAAGCAAAGGGTAGGAAGGATGGATGAAGGAAATTGAAGAACAATGTGAAATGGAAGGCTTGTATTCAGTCAGATCGTCATAGCCAGCAAAGATACCAGTATTGACTTGCCAGGGAGAAATGACACAACACTGAAGTTAGGAATTGTTGACAGTTGCAGAAGTAAGTGCTCACCAGATAGCCATTCCCAAGGGCCTTGAGGTCACTGAACTCCAGTCGACGTGGCAGCACGTGATAGGCCATGACCTGTTTCAAAACAGTTGGCTTCCTCCTCAGCCCACCAAAGCGCACGCTTTTTGGCATGCGGAAAAAGGCTCCATTGGTTGGCGCAAAGATCGTAATATTGTTGCTGGTGAGTGTAGTCGTAAGGGTCTCAGTCAGACCTGTACATTTTGAAGCATGCACAAAAGGAATAGAAAGAACAAACAAATGATGGGTGGAAACAACAATATTGTAATTTATCCACCCAACACTTGATTTGCTTACTCAAATTCAGCGAACATACCACTGAAATCGATGCCCATCGCACTTCCTGTGAATTTCCGCTTCTCCAGAAATCCCAAAACGGCGTTCACTTTAGCCAGCGCTGCTTGCTGCTCCGCCGTCAAATTCGACTCCGCCACTCCGCCTCCGCCGCTGCTTGCGTTTCCTCCCCCCCCCGTGTTCCCTCCGCTTCCCGATCCCGAACCTCCCCCGGAGATCCCGTTCGAACCACCGCCAGATCCGCCCATCGAACCACCACCCAGGTCTCCCCCCCCAAACCTACTGCTTCCGCCCATCCCCATCCCTCCATTCGCGGCCGCACCCATCGTATCACCGGCGCTAGAGCCGCCGCGACTGCCGTTACTACTGCCGCCGGTGCTGCCGCTTTTGCCCTTGCCGCCTCCCTTTCCTTTCCCCGGCAGAAGTCCCGGGAGAAAGCTTCTGCTTCCTTTCCCTGAAGGCCAGTGGAACTTCAAGGGGTACTTCTCCTTATTACCCTTTTCGAGGGGAAAGGCGGCAGAGCCCGCCCCTGTGTGCCTTGGTTTCGCTGCTGTTGCGGCGGCTGAAAGCGACAGCGACGCGAGGAGGGGCAGGAGGAGAAGGACGAGCGGGAGTACGGCGCGCGGGAGTGGGGCGCGCGGGAGTGGGGCGCGCGGGGGTAGGTCGGCCATCGCGTCACGTGGAGGTACCGCAATGAAGGGCCTTTCGGGACTCTTTCCGGTCGATTTAAATGCTCTGACTCAATCAGTGGCTGTCGTAGTCCCTATCGGGGCTAGTAAACGCCGGCAGATCGATTCATTGCGAATAAGAGCTGGTGATAATGAGGCCGCATTGTCCGAGGACCGCGGGTTTACGCCTTGGGACTCAATACTCGGAGATTCTACAGTACCCAGAGGGGGATTCGAGAAGCAGGGGCTGCTGCGATTTGCATTAAATGCAAGACAGTAGAGTTGCTACTGGCCGAGAAGTAGAGTTGCTACCCTGGCTGTACAGCAGTAGAGTTGCTAGCTACCGGGCGAGAAGCAGCGGAACGAGTTGAAAAGGGCCCGAGTCGATGTGCCTCTGGTCTGGTAAGCACATGCGATCGGTACAGAACACACGGCAGATACGGCTAGTGGCCGACATGATGATAACAGCCCTGCGATATACGCCGTCGTCTTGTCGCCGTTTCGCGACGTAGCGACAACCGTATCGGGCAGACGCATGAGGGGCCATGGAGAGTGGAATTGAATCAGAGGAGGCGGTTCGCTTATCAGACGGACGCCCATCGCCGCGACTCGACTGGTGACAGCCGACTGCTGACTGTCAGTTTCCAGAGGGAGCAGAAGAAAGGGGGTGCTGCGATTTCTTCGGCGCCTCAAAGATTCCCTTCTGACCGTCCGGTTCAAGAGGAGGCAGAAGAAAGGGCCGCTGCTTAGCTTGCTTGCTTTGCTGACTGAGGCGCGGCGCGCCGAGGCGTAACGCGACGCGTTCGGGAAGCGCGAGATAGGCGCCGGTGGATACTAGAGAGAGTGGTAGTACGGTTGCCTTGCCATAACCATTGCCACAGGCAGCAGGCAGAAGGGGAGGGAAAATGACAGTGGGGACGAAGAGAGCGGGCAAATGGGGCTAGCTGGGGGCAGAGTCGGGACGGGAGGGAAGTGGGCAAATGTGACTAGCAGGGACAAAGTCCGAATGCGGGCAGATGGGTTTTTTACAGAATTGATGATGGTGGGCCCTGGGCAGTTGGGCAACTGGGAAAAAAGGCGAAGTGGGAAATAGAGAGCGTGGACGGGCAGGAGGAGGCTGGCAGGCGTGTGTGTGCGTGGGGGCAAGGTGGGGGGGGGGGGGTGTTTAGCTTCTGCAGTCAACTGAGGGGCCGTTCGCTGGCAATTTGCCGAGGGGAACGGGAAGGGGAACGGGCGACCAAATCCGCGCACATGGAATTTGCGCAGCAAAACCTACTTTTTTTTTTTTGGTGCCCCAGTACTTTGGTAAACATAACGTCGCCGGCTCATGATTACGCCGGTCACGACTGCAGGCCTGGATACGACAAACTCACGGGCAGTGAAGTGTGGGGCCCATCAAAAGCCCTGTTAGCCCATCGCACTTTCGTCGAAAATCTAGCGGAGAAAATGTGTTTCACACAATTTTGTCAAAACTGCCCACTTTTTTAAACATTTCAAAATGTGACCGGTTGGATGGGTACAAGCTGGCGCATTTGCGCAAATTGACGGGTAGGGTTGGATGGGAAGTGGCTGTGAGAGAGGTGCCTGTGAGGTACAAGCGTGAGCTGCGGTTTTTTTTTTTTTGGTTTCGTAAACCTGCCCAGCCAAGAGGCATGCCAATCTTGGCTTGCCTCATACCACGATTTTGAAGTATGAGGTGTGGCACGGAGATACGTTGATGTTTGCCTGGCAGCTCTGGGCGGCTGATGGCCGCGCTTCGGGTTCGGCATGAGAAGGGGCACGCGATTTGGGGGCCCTTGGTTTGGGGAAACCGAACCGACGCGACGATGTCGCATGCTGACGTCATGTTTCGCAAATTGGGTTCGGCGAACCCACGAAGCCTCGATCGATGTTCCACATGCCTGATTTCCCTCGCCGTGCCGGTGAAAAATTGGCCAGCGAACGGCCCCTCAGTGAGGCAATTTATTGCTACTGCCGTCATGCTGACATGGCGCTTTCTATACGTTTGAAATGTACCGAGGCAGTCTACTAGCCCCGTCATCCAGCTATACCGAACCCACCCCACGAAACATACCTCTGCTATTTTAGGGTTTACCCATTCCAAAACGACATGCGGGCCCCTCTAGGTTATATGTTAAATTCCGCAGCGAGTGTCAGACCCGAGGTCGACCCGTGGCCGAAGGAACCGCGGGTTGTCACAACCTAACTGCGGGTTTAATTTTCTTAACGTTGCAGCAGCTGCATAGTCGCGAACTGTCGCAAGGGGAGGGTTGCGAGTATACTGGCCGAACTTTTCGAGTCTAACATAAATTTGCGAAGTTATGATTGGTGGAAGTTCATTTGCGCGACTTTGTTAGTTGTTCGGTTTGACAGCAAACTGGCTGGAGCCGTCAGTTTTTCGCAAGACACGAGGCAACTTTTTTCCTGCCCCGGATCTTCCTGCTAAACCTTCGGGTCTAACACTCGCTGCGGAATTTACCCTTATTTTGTTTTGCCCTATGTAGCATGCCTGCCTGATTTGCGTACCTAAGCTAGCCCGAAAATGTTTTGTTTCGCAGCAGGTTCGGATGACTGGTTTCATATAGGGGAAGGTATCAGCAAGCATAAAATACATTGGCTAAATTGATCAGATTGCGTCAGGTGCATCGCTTTGTTCCCTGGTTTTTTTTTTTTTTTTTTTTTTTTTTTGGGCTGCCCAAAATAAAACGCAAACTTATAAGGGCCCGCATGTCGTTCCGGGTGACATCAACCCTAATCTCGGGCCCTTGTTTCCGGGCAGATTTCTGCCCGCTATTTGACGCATTTTAATCGCTCTGCCAATGTACCTGACACTCGTTGATATCTTCCCGTCATATAGCTGCATGTTTTGGCTCCGAACCTCTAAAAGGGCACCAAGTCATCACTCGCACGTGTCGACGGCGAAAGAAATAAATTTCCCTACTGATTTGACTGCAAAAGCTAAGACCCCAAGGTGGGGTGGGGTGGGAGGAGGAGGGGATGGGGATGTCTATTATTTTTGGACGGGATATTTTCTGTACATGCCCGCAACCTTGAAACTGGCTTCAAATCGCAGTCGTTGGTTATTTTCGACGAGGGCTCGGGGGGGAAGAGTTGTTCTCACTGTAAAAGGGTGGCCAAAGTAGCGTAGGCGGGACCCTCATATTCGTTTTAGGCCACACTGATTTATCAGTGCCGATCTAAAAAAACACCCTGAAAATCTGTTTTTGGTAGTGGTTTTCTTACTGGTTGGCCTTGGTTCTTTCCTTTTCAAGGCTGATTCATCAGGGTCGGTACAAGAGAACACCCTGAAAAAAAGAGAGCAAAATCAGCGTAAAAAGCCTGAAAACTATGGGGCCTGGTGGGACGTCACCCACTGCCAAAGCGGGCTACCACCACTGTACAGGCTACAGTGACGATTTCCGTGATGGCCAAAGTAGGGTAAATTTTGCACCTCGGGTCTGACACGAGGCTGACCCGCGGTCGAAGGAACCGCGGGGTTTAGAGGCTCAACCTTGGGTCTAGCAGCCCCGGTGTGTTTCCAGTCAAGCAGCCGCCAGGAGTCGTAAGACCTGAGGCAATTTTTTTCCACCTCGGGTGTTCCCGTATGACTCTCGTGTCAGACACGAGCTCCAGAATTCACCCTAATCACGATTGACGCCAAACACAGTTTCTTCAACAATTGAGAGGTCAGTGCAAAAAACGTTGAAAACAGATTGTCGAACCCAACAAGGCAATGTATTCGAAGTTGCAAAAACCATTTCCCTTGTAAGTATCTTGCCGACTCGTGTTTGAATGTCACGCTTGTTGATGTGGTAACAATGTTTGTGCTTGTGGTTTTCGCTTGTTGCCTTGCCCTGCAGAAATCCTCTATGCGCATCTTTGTTTGGGCAGAATTCGCAATCTTGTACATGGTCAAAGTAGGGTTGCGTTCCTGGTTTGACGTCCCCCTCCGACGAGGAGTATTGGGGGCAAGTTGACGTCAGCTAAGCTTAGCTGGCGTCAACACTCTACTTTGGCCACCCTCTAAGCCATCTCCACTTTTGTCTACTCTCTTCGGACAGACTCTGTCAAGAGTTATCTGTGACAAAGCTTGATTGATTGCCTACTTCCATAAACCTAGCCTAAAGAAACTATCAGCACGATATTCGCAGCAACAAAGGAGGCCTACAAATCGCTCTGCAAAGCACACACACAAAACCTAGTTCGCTAAATGAACAGTAGCCATTTTCAAAATTTGCACATCAGCGGCCAAGAGGGGCATTCATAAGATCAATAGACCTCTCCGCAAGTTGCATAAGAAACGGGGGAAGAGAGGAGACAAGGGAGACAGTGAGAGGGGAGGGGGAGGGGGAGGGGAGGAAGAGTGGGGCAGCGGCCGTGCACAGGAGTGAGGCTGTGCCTTTAAGTCAACTCATATCAATGTAACATCTGCCCAATCTTAATTCTCCCCGATGGGCTTGACGACCTCCCAGAGGGCCAGATTGGAGGCCATGACTCACGCACTGTGTGAGGCTGTGACTTGAGACAAATTTACACCAACAGCATCCCCCCTACCTTGGACACGGTCTTGAGCTCTCGCCTGATGGGCTCAATGGCCTTCCGGGAGAGGGGGCTGTTTTGAGTCGAGCTTACACTGTTTTCAGGCTTGACGTAGCAATGAGGCAGTGTTTCGGGTAGAGCTTAAACCATAGCAGCATCCGTGTACCTTGGACACGGTCTTGAGCTCCCATCAAATAGGCTCAATGGCCTTCCATATGGAGTTCCATATTGACGCATACTTGATTTGACTTGACATTAGCATCCGCGTACCTTGGACACGGTCTTGAGCTCCCCTCCAATGGGCTCAATGGCCTTCCAGGAGAGAGGGCTGCTGATTTCCAGCGGTCACACTTGGGAGGAAAGAAGGAAAAAGGGGGGAAAAAATGGTTAAGGGGTAAATGGGACCGGGAGGGATGGTGAAAGAAAACTGGGAGAAGTGTGAGAGTACGACCCCATTCCATTCCTCTCTCCTTTCCATCTTCCCTTTCCATTTCATTCCTCTTTTTTATCCTGATTAATTTGGTCTTTATCTCATTCCATTTGGATTCCTAATCCTCCTTTTCCATAAACCTTTGATTTATCCTGTTATTATCTTTATATCACCGACCAGGCTCAGGATGTACTGATGCGCTATATCTAGCGTAATCCTGCCGTAATCCCTTAAAGCCAATAGCCTCGCGTGGCTATACGCAAGGTGATTCTATTTTCTAGAAGGGTCTATTCCCTTAGAATAAGATAGACTTGGTTACCTGATGTACTTTGGAAGTATAAAAGCGCCTTGTATCAATCGATAGTGCAACTTTTCCTCGACACATTCGATCCTGTAACACTTGGTAATCAGAGCTTTTCTCACTCGGCCGCGCTCAGCTAAGCAGCAGCAGCGGGACTCCTGCCTCGAAAAACCGCCGGGGGCAACCAATTCGACGCCGATTCTGGTAAGCACCAGCTCCATGTTTTTCGAATTACCCCCTCCGCGCGTGTTTTGAACAGGATGGCGAACTTCGACAACACCGAAGCTACCCAGCAGCTCTTCGCAAGCATCGCCGCCCTACAGGAGGAGATGCGAGCCGACCGCGAAGCTTGGCGAAACGAGTTCGAGCGAGTAACTCGACTCGCCGGCGCGCAACACAAAACGACAACGGCGACGACGCAGCAGTCGCAACAGTTTCTCGAAGCTCCGAAGCCGCGCCCACCTGAGCCGTTCGATCCGAGCGATCGAAATTCCGACGTCCGCAGATGGATCGCCGTTATGGAGATCTACTTCGCAGCCGTCAGATGCAGCTCGCCAATCTGGGATGGTCAACGCGTACGACTCGCGGCGACACTGATGCGAGGGCCGGCACTCGAGTGGATCGG